TTGTAAATGTCAACATATCGTATGGTTTTGATATGGTTAGAATTTACAATTTTAAACTAGTTCTCATAAAGTTTACTATATGCATTGAATCTTTTTTGTATTGAGCCTACAAGCTAAAACTTTTCAATAATTGAAAAGTATATGGTTATTATAAATTATTATTCAAATTTTATAATCCCTAAAGTTTTGGATTTATGTTGTTATTTGAATAATAGTTTTATAGCTCATTTTAAATTGTTAATATGGTGCACAATTTATTTGGATATAAGCATATTGAATTTAACATATGATCGTTCACTAGCATAACATTATATTATGCCTTTGGAATTGCATAAGTTAGGAATTATAATAATTCCTTGTTAGCGTGAACTTTGTGTATGGAATTATATACGGTGGTGCATTATGTTTAAGCACCTTTAGACCGTCTAAATTGTTCACCTAAGATCAAATCTTTCCATATGTGAACAATTAAAGACTTGGAAAGATTATTTGCCAATTATGCCTTTAGTGTGAGAAAACATAAACCGGTGAAAAGTTTCTCGGGAAGTGGCCAATGTGCTACTAGTTTCCTTGAAACATTACTCTGTCTAAGGAGTTGGTTATTCTTAATGAGGCTCTGTCCCAACGAACTTTTCTGGGAGTACATTTGGAATTGTTTATCATATTGTTGCATAATTATTTTTAGGCTTTAAAGTTGATGCCTAAGATATTAAGAAAATTGTCTAGTGATCTTATAATTTTGATTAATTAAGTAGTAGCCACAATATCTTTGATTAATTGAAATTTTGTGAGATTACATACAGTCATAGACGTATTGATTGTGATTAATTATATGATATAATAAAATTTAGCCCACAGGCAATTTTGTTATGTTTATATAATTAATTAGGGTAAAAACACCAAACTATGATCATAATTTAGCCCACAGGCAATTATGCATCGGAATATAGTTTTGGTGAGTTTTATCATTACAGATAGGAAAGTCAATTTATTTAACATATGGTTTTAAATTGGCGTCTTCTATCATAAACTTATGATATATGTACATATTCAAAGGTATTTTTATGTGTACATTTTGTGGTATTAGTCTAGTTTCTTTTATGTGTATTTATTATGTATGGAAGAAATTTAGATTAATAGCTTGGTACATTAATATTCTTTTGTGTACAAATATCAAGTGATCAATACAATTTCATAACTGAAATCATTAAGTTATTTTGATCACTTTGTGACTAATTACATGAAGTATAATAAAATCTACCCACAGGAATTTTATTATATTAATGTAAATAGTCAAGATAAAATATTAAATCATATTTCTTAATTTACCCACAAGGATTAAGAAAAGGAACATGGTTTGACAGTTTTATCATAAAGTTGTAGATGGATCTAATTGAATATAACTTTATCCCATATGCAAGTTTTATGTCACTAGATTCTTCTATCCCCTTTGATAACAATTTTATCATAAAGTTTTAGTTGAGTCTAATTGAACAAAACTTTAGCCCACATACAAGTTTTGTGTCACTAGATTCTTCTATTTGATTATCATAAAGTCTCAGTTGAGTCTAATTGAATAAATCTTTAGCCTACAAGCAAGTTTTATGTCACTGGATTCTCCTGTTTAAATTGGTGATCAAGATAAAATTTTATCATACCAATTTTAGAATTTATAACTTTAAGGCCAGTTATAATTCTATATTATGTCACATGGGTTGCAATGGCAACACATGTATTTTGTTAACCTCCAAAACTTTAGTAACTTGAAATTGTTACTGTATGTGGCTTACTTGGTTTTTCAGCCCCAACCACAATAGAGCTTTTGAATTTAGACATGATATACTTTTGGATTCTTATATTGGAATTGTACATATCTGCCAAATTTCAACTAAAGCAATTTAATTTGTTTAAATAGTTGGAAATTGTGTCTGTTACATGTACATATTTAACATGTCCAACTATGGTGGGGAATTATAATCCTTATTAAATTAGTTGGACTTGAGGATCATTAGTGTGTATATCATTTATGCTCAAGAATAACTTATTTAGTGGGAGTAATGGTTTGATCAGTGGGAGTGATCATTTAAAAGATCAATAAGATGTCCCATTTGATCAGTGGGAGTGATCATTTGGAAAGATCATTAAAGATGTCTCACGTCAAGATTGCTCCACTTCAAGGATAAGATACCTTGCTTTGTTATTATAAAATCAATAGTTCAATTTGTTGAACTAGCTACAAGTTGTGCAACATATTTTTGAAAATGTTGTAACAACATTAATAGTTTTTATTATAACAATGGCATTAAGTTTATAGTGAACTATCACGAGTTAGATTCTTTAGCATTTATTGGAGTCTCTCGCCTCATCAAATTGATCCTGGGCCATTAAGATTTAAAAGGTTCAAGATTCAATGTTGACAGACATAAAGCATGCAAAGACTCATTATGTTGGTTCATATGGATGAATCTTGAGGATTTTTTATTTTTATGATGATACAATAATTTTGTTGTTTCATAAAGTTACATTAATAAATCATTGGTGTTGCTCTATGACATGAAAGTTGGGCTTCCTTCCTTTGTTTTGGAGATCATTTATAAGGTGTATGTTTAAAGTTCCGTTTGTGGGCTTAGACTCATGAATTTGTTATCTATGTCGTTGGAATATGGACTATTCAATTATTATCTTTGGCTAAGATTAATGAGAGTAGGAGTGACAGACGTGTCAACTCTGAAAACTTAGCTGTCAGCGATAATATTAAAGATAATGAGTTAGTCGTGCGATATATTAGCATTTTTGCTAATAGTTTCAGATCCCTACTTAAGGCATGTTTATAAGAATTTTAGGGATCATACAGGGTACATGGAACTTATTATGTGACTATATTGTACGTACATTTATGTTGTCACCTCTATGTAATTTGGATGGTTTCTCCTATGGTTATGCGCATATTTATTTGAGAAACATCCATAAGGTTGGACCAAGAGTAAACGTAGGGTTTATTCATAAAGAACCTGAGTTGAGAATCAAAATGCATGTGATGCATAGATGGTATTACTCACACTTCAATTTAGAGGACATATCACTAGGATTCATGTTTTTTTTATATTCAACAAAGGTTGTGCCAATACTTGCACAAAATGGAAAATTGTAATATTTTCCACTAATATTGTACAAATGAAGTTGTGCAAGTTTATTAGGCCAAATTTAGCCATTGCGGCAATGATTAGTTTTGATAACTAATTATAATCAAGAATGAACATAAGGTTTATTCATTAAGTTTTGTTACCACATAAAGTACTTAGAGGAAAAGTTACACTTGTGGTCATAGTGGATACTACTCCACTAAGAGGAACTATCTCTATGGTTACATTCATGTTTTCTATTTCCTTGAGTTTATACTTGCACCAAGTGGGAGAATGTAAACAATATTTTCCATTAAGTCATATTATTGTGGTGCAAGTTTAAATAGGGCACTTTATGGCTACTTAGTGGTAGCATTAATGTTGTAACGGAAATAACAGTTTCCGTTACAAAGCCTATATTGATGGCATATAAGGCTATATAAGTATAGGTCCTCCCACTGCTCTGGAACACCTAAAACACACCATCTATACTGGTCCGGAGACCAAGTGGGAGACAACGTTTGCAGAAATTGCTACACAAAAGTATCAACTATGGCTGGAGTTTTGCTCGATTCCTATGCTTCCGCTACGAGGTTAGATCATTACAATTATAATATCATATAATTATTCTAACATATCTATCTTCAAGCACAGATGAAACAAAAGCCCAGTTGCATAAAACAACTAAGTATTTTCTTCAGCAGTAAAACATGACAGCCTTCACATTATTGTCCTTGATTATAGGCAATGGCTTAATATTAGCACTATTGTCCCTTGTAGAGAAAATATAATAAATTACTAAATAATGCAAATATTATTTACCTACTGCCTCCTACATACTGCATAATGCCCAACGGAGAAGGGAGACCGGATACGAGTCGCCGATTGCTGATTGCCGGAAAGGGAGACTGGATCGGATCGGAGAAGAATCCGCGCTCCGGGAGTGAGCTGCGCGCGTGAAAGACAGAGAGGTTGGCATTAGTTCAACAAACACTCAAATTAAAATCCAATATGAAATTGTTATTTTTCCTCATGAGGTTGGCATATAGGATATAGCTTCAAATTATATCATCAACCAGGGTATACTTAACATTTGTAGATCGTGGTTCAAAATAACATCTAATTAATATATTATGTGCATTCAATTAACATATTTTATGCCTATAAATAAATTTCAGACACATAATATGTTAACTGTATCTAATGGAGACGTTGGCCAGTGGGATCTTTGATTGGCCAGACATTCCGCTGCGCATGCTTCCTTAAAATTAACGCAGGTTAGTTGTTGAAGATTTGGGTCTGTGTTATTGTCCTGATTTTGGTTTTGGATCTTTGATTGATTGCCATGGTAGAAACCTATCAAACTAACATATCTCTATAGGTTCCTACCATGGCCGGCAACCAATCCAAGATCCCAAAACCAAAATCAGGACAATAACACATAACTATATCCGATAACCTGCGTGATCTTGAGATAGCATGCGCAGAGAAATGAAAGGTCATGATTATCGGACCAAACAACGGGACGATTAACGCAACAACCGACACCATCAAGACCTTAAATATATATAAGGCCGCAGGCCGGGATACATATATATGAACGTGTGAGTGTATGTATTTAAACAACCCCAAAGGCTTAAACACTAGCAGTGGGCTCACCAGCTTTAAAAAAAAATAATAATAATAAGAAGAAGAAATAAACTACACCCCTCTAAAAAACTACACCCCTCTATATATATAGCCTTTACCCTGGGGTTTCCCCCTCCCAGTTTGATCCAAAAAAAAAAAAAAACTTCACTCCTTCAACTCTTACACAAAGCCCCTTTTATAGTGTAGCTGCAGGATCCCTTGATTATCTTCCTTGAATTTAGGCATGATATACAACATGCTTCCATGCATGTTCACCGTGAAGTGGCTTGCATGCATGCAATACACGCACCTCACCTACTCAATATTATGAAGTGGATGGTTTATTTTTGGTTTTAATTTGTTGATTTTGAATCCCACGTACAGCATGCATATATGTTTTGTGTCCATTATCTTTGCATGTCATCTCCACTTCCTTTTTTTTTTTTCTTAGCACACACTTCACATGTAGACCACATTTAATTTCTTTCTCATTTTGCATTCATAAGCATTTCATGCTTTGTACACCAAAACCTACTCTTCACGTATATGTTCTGTTGTAAAAATCGGTCTACGCGTCCGCCTAAGCGCTAGACGCTCCTTAACCTTGACTGTATCCCCTAGGCGCCCGCCTTGCGCCTAACTCGAACGAATTCGGCCAAGTTAACTTGTCCATTTCAATTGCGTTAGCCGGGTTAATTAACCCGATCGGCTAAATATATACATTTATTTATTTATTTTATAAAATTATATTATATTACATACATACATACATACAGATATACATACACACACACACACATATATATATATACACACACACGTGCATTGTTTTCTTCTTCTTTTTTTAGTTAGCCGTACAGGCGTCCACCTGAGTCCCACCTAAGTCGTTTAGGCGCTAGGCGTTACTCTACCGTCCGACTAGCACCTAGCGCCTAGCGCCTAGCGTAACCATGACACACATGCATAAATCACCATAATTTGCTTTGATTCCATCATGATCAACATAATCAATATATGTCGACTAACGTTAGTACACAAATTAAATAATATTTTTTAATTTGTACCAACAGGCTGTATCCCTTAAATAAAATATATTATCAAATGGCATCTTGCATCCTATAAATTAAATTAGCAGAAATTTTAATGTGGATTGGGAAATCAAGAAAAGAAATTAATTAAAGATGGATCACATCACAAAGTATAGTGCAGAGAGATGTGAGAGCCAAAAGCAAACATTGCACCAAGGTGATGATCAAGGCACCACATTATGAGCGAATTATATAGTGAACCAATATTCATTTTTAGTATACTGAATATTCATTGTTAATGTACTAAATATTTTATTAAAAATAAACTTTTAATGTAATAAAAATAAAATTTTAAAACATAAATATTTAGCGTATTAAAAATGTATTTTTAATATATACTAAAAATGGACATTATATCAATTGTTCACCTTACCAACAGGGACGGAGCCAAGGGGAGGAAGGGGGGCAGCTGCCCTCCTCACCCCACCCCCACCCCCACCCCCATCCCCATCCCCATCCCATATATAAGTTTTGTATGTAAATATGTATATATAGTACATGTGTTAGTATTAGTAAAATAAAACTATTAAATGTCAACAAGTATTTATTTAGATGAGTTGGTTGAGTAAACATGTTGAGTTATGATAAAGGATAGGTGTTCAAATCTTAGCATTAACATAATTTTATAGTTAGTTTCAATATTTTTTATTTTTTTTACTCCTTCCCTATGGTTTCAACACAATCACGCTTTTAATAGCTTTTTAATATTTAATACACACACACACACACACACACACACATATATATATATATATAACATTATTTTATATTAATAATGAGATGTGTTTTTTTTTTTTTAATTATCTCTTTTGGTTTAATGTTTCAACCGTTTTTTTTTACTCCTTCCCTATGGTTTCAAACTTTCAACACAATCAGATTTTTAATAGCTTTTTAATATTTAATACACACATATATATAACATTCTTTTATATTAATAATGAGATGTATTTTTTTTTAAAAAATTATCTCTTTTATTTTAATATTTTACCTTTACTAACAAAAATATCTGAATCCGTCCCTACTTTGTCGTCCCCCCTCAACCGAATTTTTGGCTCCATCCCCGTAGCCCTACTACCGGACAATCCAGAGGATCCATCTGATATTTCATCCTCGACATAATACCTAGCGTGAAAAGAAGCCAAATGTACATAATAAGGAACTGTATAGAAATGAACAATATTTATATTATTATTTCTACTATATTAATAAGAGCCCAAGAGAGTTAGGTCCATAATGGATAGAAAAAATGGCGGTCAAATGTTTTAATCAAATGAATGGCTCAGATTGATCAGATTTTAATTTTTCCTTAAGATTTCCTAATTTATCCTTAATGAATATGATTATCTCTTAACTTTTCCGTTAAATATTATCTTTTCCGTTAACTTCTGTTAATTCACCGTTAATTTACTCATTGATTTCAATAAGAAAGGTTTTAGGTTCTTCGAACCTCATCCCAATTAAAGTTGGCATAATTAGTACTATATTTTACTCTTATTAAATTAAATAATAATTTAGTAGCTACAACAAAAAATAATACATACGCATTTCTTTAATTTAGAATTATATGTCTACAATGTCTTTATTCAAAAAAAAATTATTTATTATCAATAAATTAAATAAGAGAAATAATTTCATTAGTTATATTATTTTTATTTTTCTCCAATATAAAAATTTTTTACATTCAAATTCATCAATTGATTATATTCGCTACATTGTCCCTACAATGTCTTTATTAAAAAAATTTATTCATTATCAATAAATTAATTAAGAGAAATAACTTTATTAGTTATTGTCTTTATATTTCTCTAATGTAAAAATACTTTACATTCAAATTCATCAATTGATTATATTCACTACATTGTCTATTATATTTTTTTGCACTATTTCTTAATTAAATATGAAAGTACTTTAAAAAAAAAATTGGGCATTATCCCAAACGCGCAATGCGCGTAAAAAACTAGTCTACTATACTAATAAGAGCCCAAGAGAGTTAGGCCTATATAATAGGTAGAAAAAATGGCGGTCACATTTTTTAATCAAATGAATGGCTCAGATTGATTAGATTTTAAGTTTTTCTTAAGATTTCCTAATTTATCCTTAATGAATATGATTTTCCGTTAACTTTTCCGTTAAATATTATCTGTTCCGTTAATTTCGGTTAGTTCACCGTTAACTTACTCATTGATTTAAATAAGAAAGGTCTTAAGTTCGAACCTCATCCCAATCAAAGTTGGCATAATTAGTACTCTATTTTACTCTTATTAAATTAAATAATAATTTAGTAGCAACAACAAAAAAATAATACATATGCATTTCTTTTTTTTCTCAAAAGGGAGGATAAAAATAATACATATGCATTTCTTTAATTTGGTATATGTGTCTACAATGTCTTTATTCAAAAAAAATTATTAATTATCAATAAATTAAATAAGAGAAATAATTTCATTAGTTATATTGTATTTATTTTTCTTCAATATAAAAATTCTTTACATTCAAATTCATCAATTGACTATATTCGCTACATTGTCTCTACAATGTCTTTATTAAAAAAAATTATTCATTATCAATAAATTAATTAAGAGAAATAATTTTATTAGTTATATTGTCTTTATATTTCTCCAATGTAAAAATTCTTTACATTCAAATTCATCAATTGATTATTTTCACTACATTGTCTATTATCTTTTTTGTGCACTATTTTTTAATTAAATATCAAAGTTATAATACAAAATAATGTTATATATTTATTTACCAAGTATTTTATTAATACCATGAAAAAATTTAAAAAATATAAAGAATAAAGCCAATCATATTAACTACTTAGGGGATTTGTTGACAAAGAGAGTGATTCAAATCACACAACAAATTGAGGTGAGAACTACCTCGCAATGTCCTTGTTTAACAATCAGCAGTTAACGGTTATCGAATTATATTAGTGAATTTGACCAGCAAATTATATCAATGGTTGGTAAAAATATATTTGAAAAAATCAACTGTTTAGATTAACATGAAAAATGATCTAAGGGTATACATAATAATAATAATAATAATAATAATAATAATAATAATAATAATAATAATAATAATAATAATAATAATAATAATATTAGTTTTAAAAAAATAAAAAATATATAATTAAGCCAATCATATTAACTATTTGGAGGATTTATTGACAAAAAGAGTATTCAAATCACACAACAAATTGAAGTGAAAAACTATCTCGCAATATCCTTGTTTGGCAATCACCAGTTAACTCTTTAGTATTAGTATATATTTAATATTTTATGCCCTAATTTTTATTTGCTCTCCCTTATGTCCCATATGGTTTCAACCTATACAATTATAATCAATCTTGACTATATTATCTTGCATTTGTAAACTTAGAATTGCCTATTTAAATATGCAAATTTAACATTCAATTATCTATGCATGAACAATTCCAATATAATATTGCTTTGATATACTTTAAAGTACTTATTTAAAAAAAAAAAAAAACATTGGACATTATCCCAATCGCGCAATGCGCGTAAAAAACTATATAATAATTTAATAAGAGTCAAATAGAGTACTAATTATGCCAACTTTGATTGGGATGGGGTTCGAACCTAAGACCTTTCTTATTGAAATGAATGAGTAAATTAACGGTGAACTAACAGAAATTAACGGAAAAGATAATTTTTAACGGAAAAGTTAACGGATAATCATACTCATTAAGGATAAATAAGGAAATCTTAAGGAAAAATTAAAATCTGATCAATATGTGCCATTCATTTGATTAAAAAATTTGACCGCCATTTTTTCTACCTATTATAGGTCTAACTCTCTTCGACTCTTATTAGTATCTTAAGGAAAAATTAAAATTTGATCAATATGAGCCATTCATTTGATTAAAAAATTTGACCGCCATTTTTTCTACCTATTATAGGTCTAACTCTCTTGGGCTCTTATTAGTATAGTAGATAGTAGATTATAATTTCATAATGACTGGATATAGCGTATAATCCAAATAAAACACCAAAATAATACGGAGTATTAGAGAACTCATCAAATCAACTATTTATCATTTATTTTTTATTAGTTTTTAATTATTTTTAAATTCAAATTTTTGTATTTTATAGTGCTTTTAATTATATATGATAGTTTTATTAGGATCGGGTCCACTATAAATTGGGTAGGCAAAGAATAGCTTTATTACCCGGGGTGCTAGGCCCTAAACAATACGTACAAAGCCGGGCCAGGTGCTAGGCCCTAAACAATACGTACAAAGCCCGAAGTCAAAGGTGCAGGCCCAGAATGGTGGCCCAATTACAAAGAATAAAGCCCACGGGGTGGGCTATAGCGAATATGCTACTAATAGGAATCGAACCCAGGTGGCTAGGTTGAGAGTATAGACTAGAGATCACTAGACCAAGGTGCATATAGTCTTTGAGTTTCCCCTGTTAA